CACCACTGTCTAGATTCTGAGCTCTTCATGGACGAGAGTTTGTCTTTATACTTGTCTGTAAAGAGCCTTACATACTTCCGGCACTCTAGAAGTAATTAATAAGGACATAGAGGTGATGATTTAATTAGCCTTTTCCATCTCTAATTTCTATGAACCTGTGATTTACTTCGTATGAAAAGTCTGTCCTCTACATATTGACGTGCCCTTAAGAGTGAGCATAAAAAAGAATTCTGCTGATTCATAAAGTCATATTGTTCACTCTTTCAGCTAAGTGGAAAGTGAATACTTCTGAGAAATGTCAACAAGTTAGCTTGATGAAAAGTAAAAGAGCAAACCAGAGTGGTTTCTAAATCCACCACCAAATGCCAAATTAAAAGTCCTCCAATCCCATTCCTATATTGCTATGTCCTACTGGCAGAGGTACAGACTTTTTAATGTGCTGGGGGGTGCTCTCCCTGACTCTGCCCCAGGCCCCACCCCCACTTCACCCCTTCTTCAAAGGCCCCATCCCCACCCTGCCTCTTCCTGCCCCCTCGCCCCCCCAGTGCCTCCCGCACGTCACGGAACAGCTGATCGCGGTGGGCGGGGGGAGCTGATCGGCGGGGCCACTGGAGAGGAGCTGATGGGGGGCTGCTGGTGGGTGCTAAGCACCCACCATTTTTTTCCCCCCATGAGTGCTCCATCCATGAAGCACCCATGGAATCGGTGCCTATGCCTACTGGAGTCCGTGGAAAATTGTTTAAATACCAGAATAATGGCAGTACTAAGGCTTTGATCCTGTAACAGGATCCACGCACCAGATGCCTGCATGGAGCCCCTTCTCCTTCAGTGGATCAGCTTGGAGGACTGGGGCCTATGTTTGTCCATAAAGCACCTTATATCCTGCACCGCACCTTTAGCTCATCTGTTGTTACTCTAGGTTTCTTGGGTTTTCTTTCCTTTAACAATCTTATAATCTCCCCTATAGCTTTGGGGGGGCAAGGGAGAGAGGAGGAAGAGAACAGCAGGAACAAAAATAAAACCCCTATGAGGAAAGGAAGAGATTATTTTAAAGTGAAAACAACATCTAAAGACAGAACACCAACTGAGCAAAGAAGTGGTAGAGGACAGGGTTCTTTACAGACATGTGCAACCCTTAATTTGGAACTTAATGTATAGTTAATTACCATGGGCACATTAAACATGCCTTAGGTTGGCTGAACTATTTGGTTAAAACAGATATATATTTAAAAATAGAAATTCCTTTCCCTGTATTCTTAGAAAAACAATTTTTTAAAATCTAATTTATTCTTCATTGTATTTGCCTTTTTAAAAAAAAATTCATTCCACTGAAAAAATGAGACCAGACTGGTCAGTTTCATATTTTTTCTACAAAACCCATTACAAATAAATTGTAAATGTAGGGCCTTAACGCCTGACCACATGCCTTGGAATTTAAGGCTTGATCCTTAACTGCTGAATAATAGGCTTTTAATTGCCTTAGGTCTTCTAAGCTACAGTGGAAAACACATATCTGCAATATGCAATTTTAAAAGTAGTAATTAACAGGAAAATAAGCAGAAAAGGTAAGAAAAAGAAAGAAGGAAAGAAAAGAGGAGATTCTTAGTGGTTCCATGCAACGTGCTCTGCCCCTCCTCTAGGAATAGCATGTACCAAAACAATTCCCTACTGAAGCCTCCTGTTGATCCCAAACATTCTCTGGATTCATCTCTTAAAGAAGCTACTAGGGCTGGTCTAGGAAAAAGAAATTAATTTGGAAACCAATCACACGTGAACATGAACAAGGCAAGTTCCCAAACAGACTTGCTCTCAAGTGGAAAGGAAGTTTCCCTGTCGCAAAGTAAAGGTAATTTTAATGGTAAATTAATAAATATTATAGGCAGTGATGCCTATGGTTAAGGTTGTCTGACTCTTCACATTATAAGATCCTGTTTGCAGTTGCTTACAACTTAAATCACTTGGGCTAAAACTTTCTGTGCTGGGTGTCTGCCTCAGGTGGAGTCTTTTAGGGAAGTTTTCAGCTAAAATACTTCAGCCAGTTCCAGGAAGGTAGTTAGGGAAAAATATATTGTTCTGCCCATGTTAAAAACCAACAACAACCTCATATAACTGTTATGTTGAGAAGCTCTAGCACGTTGGCACTCTACACCAGTGGTTCTCAACCTATTTGCCATCGTGGGCCACATATATAGCTCTCCATGTGTTATGCGGGCCACATCCACACAATATATATACTATCTGTATGGCCTGGAGGCTGTCACATGGGCCACAGCCGTGTGCTGATTGGGCTGCAAGCTGCCATGGGTTGAGAACCACTGCTCTATACATATGTCAAAGAATGACATAGTTTGGGCGCTGCCAAATTCATGGCCATGAAAAACGTGCCACAAACCATGAAATCTGGTCTTTTGTGTGCTTTTACCCTATACTACACAGATTTCATGGGGGAGACCAGCATTTCTCAAATTGGGGGTCCTGATACAAAAAGGAGTTGCAGGGGGCGGTTGCAAAGTTATTTTAGGAGGGTCGCGGTATTGCCACTCTTACTTCTGCCTTCAGAGCTGGGTGGCTAGAGAGCGGCTCCTGTTGGCCGGGCACCCAGCTCTGAAGGCAGAACCCTGGCAGCAGCAGCACAGAAGTAAGGGTGGCAATACCATACCATGCCATCCTTACTTCGGCGCTGCTGCTGGTGACGGCGCTGCCTTCAGAGCTGGGATCTCGGCCAGCAGCCACCGCTCTCCAGCTGCCCAGCTCTGATGGCAGCGCCATTGCCAGAGGCAGTGCAGAAGTAAGGGGTAGCAGTACCGCAAGCCCCACTACAATAACCCTGTGACCCCCCCCCCCCACTCCTTTTTGGGTCAGGACCCTTACAATTACACCACCATGAAATTTCAGATTTAAATAACTGAAATAATGACATTTATTATTTTTAAAATCCTAGGTCTGTGAAATTGACCAAAATGGACCGTGAACTTGGTAGGGCCCTAGACATAGTCCGTGTTGTATAACATTTTTAGTAACTTTGATTTTTTAATTCTGTTGGTTAGTTCTCTGGCTACAATTTTATAATGTGTTATCTGTTGCTTTTTACTTTGTGTGGGTTATAACTCTGTATTCCTGATGTGTGAAATAAAGAGTCAATTTATTTCCTTTTTCCACCATATTTATCTGAGCACACCAAAAAGATATGCAAACCCATATATATTGATCTTGGCATTTGTGCTGTTCAGTGTTAGCATCTATAACATAGAAGCAGGACAGGGCACCTGCAACACCCACTGGCTCTCCTGGCATCAGGATATTAATCTGGCACTAAATGAGGTGAGCTAGTGCAGTAGTACTGCAAGTTTCATATTATAGTGCTGTCTTCTGCCTTTCTTACCTGTTGACAATCTGTTCAATAAGCTATTGGCTCTAGTTAATACTAATTAGCTATCTAGTTTTGGACAGCTGCTAAGGTAAAGCGCAGTTATCTAGTTTGGCCCTTGGGATATTTCACAAAGGCTCTCAGTCTCCATGTTTCCTGCCTCTAAAGAGGCAACAACCCAAAATCAAAGTTCTGAATATAACACCTACAGAACCTGTGTAACCAGAGAAAATAAAGACTTTTCCTTTATCTCTTCCAAAGGTAGTCCAGAAAAAAAATTATGTAGGCCTCAGTCCTGCAAAACTGTGCATGCAAGTAATCTCATTGAAGTCAATGGGACTCGCTACTCGTGTGTAAGCATTTGAAGGGGCATGGCCTTACACTGTAACCTGGGATGGATGTTGGTGGTGGTGAAAGCACACACTGTGAGGGGATGTACCACCTCTCTCAATTTAAATATAAAGTAGAAGCAAAATGGTACATTTTTTGCTAACTAAATTGAGTTATTTAAATCTGATTTTTATGAAGTCTTTGAATTTTAGCCATTTAATGTATTTTTTAAAAAAGGGGAGGAAGATCTTGTGACTAAAGCGTAAGACTGAGAACTAGGTCTGTATTCTGTTACTGACTCTATCAAAGACTTCCCGTGTGATGTCAAGCATGGTATTTAATGTCTCTGCGCCTCACTTTGTTCCTGTGTAAATTGGGCAGCTGCCTTCACAGACATGTTGTAAACCTTCATTTATTAATGTTTTGTGGCATACTTTGAGATTCTTGAGTGAAAGCATCAACCAAAGTGTAAATCAATATAAAAATGCCTGTGTATATTCTTTCTACATTCTACTTAAGTTTGAGAATGTAATAACAGAACCACACTTCACACAGCCAGGCAGCTTTTCATCTGACGATCTCCCAGTGCTTCACAAAATAAGTTAAGCCTCACAAGACTTAGACAGGGTAGTATTATTATCCCCATTTTACATATGAGTAAGTAGAGAGGCAGTAAGGTTAATTTGTCTGATTTTTACATATGCTAAGCACCTGCAGTTGCCTCTGACTTCAAGGGATTTCTGGGAGCTTAGCAACTCTGTGGCCAAGATCAGATGCTACTAAGAGGAATAGAATCCAGGAAACTTGACTCAGCACATCCTATTCTAACTCCTAAACCAAACTCCACTCCTTCTGTATGATGCACTCTTTTAAACTATTAACTACGATTAAAGATAATATTCCTTTCCATTTCCAGAGGGCACTGGATCTCAGTTTTTCCAACCAAGCTTACTCTCTACCCTTTTTTAAAATTAGCCTGTGTTTTTTGGTTTCATTGTTGCGGTGTGCATGAGGATCACAAAGTTCAGAGCTCTGGTTTTAGCCCTTTGAATTGCTAAGTGCTCATGTTTTGGTGGCTGGGATAAAATAAGCAGCATGAGCTACTCGAATAGCCTCTTATCCTCCCATCCAAAAACCCAAACATGGAACACTATATGGTGGCAATGGCAAACAATTTTGGGGAGGGTGGAGGAACGGCATAATCAACCAGCAACAACCCCCAGCATCCTAATGATGTGAACGGGGCTGAATTAACGCTGCCACTCTCTTTAGTTAACCGAGGAGGGACGAGATCTTTGCTTACCCCTCTGTAGTTCCCTGCAGATCCTGCTTACACAACCAACTCTCCAGCTCCAGCGTATCAATGTGCTGCTCTCACTCTCCCCTTACACAACTCCTACTGCCAGCGAGGCACCGCCCCCTTCACAGGCGTCTGATAGAAGCAAGGGCGGGCTGAAAGGGTGAAGCGAGAGGGTGACATATTGGCTAGGGGCCAGCGAGGGAGAAATCGGTCCGGAATGGGGACAAGCGGAATCACTTCAGCAGGGGCTGCTGGAAAGCGCTGCGCACTGGGACTCCTTTAAGTTGCAGAGGAGACACGGTGTGCAAGGGGAAAGCACGTGGGGGGTGTAGCTAATGGGGCCGAAGGAAATGGGAGTATGAGCAAGCCCTGTCCAGCCTAGGCTGGAACATCCTCCCGGTCGACTGAGCAAACTCAACCCTGCCCTGAAATGTGTGGGCAGGTGGTGCCTTCTACAGGAACCTGTGCAAACCCAGCTGAGCCCTGCAATGCCTGATCCAGGCTGGCTGCGGGCACACTCTACAGTAGCCTGTGCAAGCCCAGTTCTGCAATGCCTTACTCAGGCTGCATCTGCAGAACCTGTGCTTGCCCACCCCAGACAGTGGTGCCAGTCCACGGGCACCTGAGCAAAGCCAGCAGTGCTATTGCTGGGATGTCACAGCCTATGAAACTGCAAACCCAGTTCAGCCCAGCTGTGCCTGGCTCAGGCTGGCATGTTCCACGGAAACCTGCTCCTAGGACAGACATGGGAGAGGTGGGACTCAACCTCTCATTATAACTAGATGGGGGAGGGAAGACTTTACTTCTCTTTTCTTTCCTTTTCTACGGAAACTGATTCTCATCCACCATCAGCTGTCCCTCACATTCCTACTGTCACCCTCCCCTTGCTAACCAGTCTCTCATTTCTTCTCTGCTGAGTTAACTTAGGTGTTGCCCCCAACCCCCATCCTGCCTACACACAATTAAAGCCTCTCACCTGAGTTTAATGGTGCTTTCAAGCCCCGCTGGCCTGGGGCTGTAGGCTAATGCCCAGGTGCTGCTTTCACCCGGGCTCATAACCCACCCACTGTGCACTGAGGATCCAGGCAGATGGCTATAAAAGCCCCAAATGCCAAACACCAATCGTTGGATTCTAAATGCCATGGAACTTTCTGAGTTCAACATTCTATTCTCTGCTTCTTTTGAATGGTTGTTGTGTTTTGTATTAATATTTACAGCACTACATGGGTCCTTAGGCCCAGATCCTCAAAGTATTTAGGCATCCAACACTGAAATCGATGGGATTTAGGTGCCTAAATACCTTTGAGGATCTGAACCATGACTACAGACTTTTAGCTAAGGGCCAAATTCTGTTCTTGTTAACCCCAGTGTCCAGTAACTCTGGAGTAACTTCACATAAGTCAGTGGAAGCAGTAGAAGTAATGTACTTTGAGTTCCTCCACGGGGCTCAGAAATATGTTTGCAACTTTAGTTTCCTGAAGGACTGTGTTTTGAAATCATGCAGGAGGGATCAGGGACCATTTTAATGCTCAAAGGAGCATGATAAGCTTGCCTTCTTTTCTACTTCTCCTTTTTTATCTTTTCTTACCAGAGAGTAGTTTGGGCCTCCCTTATCTCTTCTGCCAGCTAAGCTTTAAATGTGCTCTTCTGGAGCCATGCTTTCTAAACCACTTAACTCAGGCAAAACTCCCTTTGTATGAAGGGGGTCTGGTCTAAACAGTTTTTGTAGTGATATGCTGGTTAGGGTGTAATTTTTTTTTCTTGAAATGGTTAAAACAATACAACTCCTAGTGTTGGTGCAATTATATCAGTATGTAGGTGCCCTATGCCAGTATAACTTATTCCCATTTCTATACCAAAATAAGCCATGCTTATATGAGCACCTTTTATACCAGTATAACGGTGTCCAAACTAGGTGGATTGTATAACTAACTCTACCAATATAGTTAAAGCAGTGCCACTTTGTGCAGAGACAAGCTCAAGAGCCTTAGGCTCTCACCCATTGTCTGTGACTGAGCAGAGGAAGGGTATGTCTACACTACGAAATTAGGTTGTTTTTATAGAAGTTGATTTTTAGAAATTGATTTTATACAGTCAATTGCGTATGTCCCCACTAAGCGCATTAAGTCGGCGGAGTGTGTCCTCACTACCGTGGCTAGCATCGACTTACAGAGAGGTGCACTGTGGGTAGCTATCCCACAGTTCCTGCAGTCTCTTGGAATTCTGGGTTAAGCTCCCAATGCCTCATGGGGCAAAAAACATTGTTGCGGGTGGTTTTGGGTACATGTCGTCAGTCGCCCCTCCTTCCGTGAAAGCAATGACAGACAATCCTTTCACGCCTTTTTTCCTGGGTGACCCATGCAGACGCCATACCATGGCAAGCATGGAGCCTGCTCAGCTCACTGTCACCACTGCTGTTGTGAGCATTGTAAACACCTCATGCATTATCCTGGAGTATATGCAGAACCGGGCTAAGAGACGCCAGCACGAGGTGGATTTTGATGAGGACATGGACGCAGATGTTCCTGAAAGCAATTGAGACATCATGGCGGCAGTGGGGCTGGTTGATACAGTGGAACGCCGATTCTGGGCCAGGCAAACAAGCACAGACTGGTGGGACCGCATAGTGTTGCGGGTATGGGATGATTCACAGTGGCTGCGAAACTTTCGCATGCATAAGGCCACTTTCCTGGAACTCTGTGAGTTGCTTTCCCCAAGCCTGAAGCACAGGAATACCAAGATGAGAGCTGCCCTGACAGTTGAGAAGCGAGTGGTGATAGCTCTGTGGAAGCTTGCAACGCCTGACTGCTACCGGTCAGTCGGGAATCAATTTGGAGTGGGCAAGTCTACTATGGGGGCTGCTGTGATCCAAGTAGCCAATGCAATCATTGACGTTCTGTTATCAAGGGTAGTGACTCTGGGAAATGTGCAGGTCATACTGGATGGCTTTGCTGCAATGGGGTTCCCTAAATGTGGTGGGGCGATAGACGGAATGCATATCCCCATCTTGGCACCGGACCACCTTGCCAACCAGTACGTGAACCGTAAGGGGTACTTCTCAATGGTGCTGCAAGCACTGGTGGATCACAAGGGATGTTTCACAGACATCAATGTGGGGTGGCCAGGAAAGGTGCATGACGCTCACATATTTAGGAACTCCGGGCTGTTCGAGCAGCTGCAAGAAGGGACTTACTTCCCAGACCAGAAAATTACCGTTGGGGATGTTGAAATGCCCATAGTTATCCTTGGGGACCCAGCCTACCCCTTGCTCCCATGGATCATGAAGCCATACACAGGCAGCCTGGACAGTAGTAAGGAGCAGTTCAACTATAGTCTGAGCAAGTGCAGAATGGTGGTAGAATGTGCCTTTGGACGTTTAAAAGCTTGCTGGCGCTGCTTGCTGAGTAGGTTAGACCTCAGCGCAAACAACATTCCCATTGTTATTGCTGCTTGCTGTGTGCTCCATATCTGTGAGAGTAAGGGGGAGACATTTATGGTGGGGTGGGAGGTTGAGGCAAATCACCTGGTGTCCGATTTTGAGCAGCCAGACACCAGGGCGATTAGAAGAGCACAGCAAGGCGTGCTGCGCATCAGAGGGGCTTTGAAAACCAGTTTCATGACTGGCCAGGCTTCGCTGTGACAGTTGTGTGTTTTTCTCCTTGATGCAAACCCGCCCCCTTTGTTGATTTTAATTCCCTGTAAGCCAACCACCCTCCCCCCTTCGAAATAAAGTAACTATTGTTTTGAAACCATGCATTCTTTCTTTATTAATTAAAAAAAAATGAGATAACGGACAATGTAGCCCGGGTGGGGTGGGGGAGGAGGGAAGGACAAGGGCACATTGTTTATTGTAGCCACACTAAAAATCAAACTGTTTGAATGATAGCCTTTTGTTGCTTGGGCCATCCTCTGGAGTGGAGTGGCTGGGTGCCCAAAGCCTCCCTCCCTACGTTCTTGGTCATCTGGGTGAGGCGGATATGGAACTTGGGGAGGAGGGCACGCGGTTATACAGTGGATGCAGTGGGGGTCTGTGCTCTTGTTGGCTTTCCTGCAGCTCCAACAGACACTTCATCATGTCCGTTTGCTCCCCCATTAGCCTCAGCGTCGCGTCCTGCCTCCGCTCTTCGTGCTCACTTAATTCTTTCCTGGCCTCTGCCACTGAATGCCTCCATGCATTAAGCTGTGCCCTATCAGTGCGGGAGGACTGCATGAGCTCGGAAAACATGTCATCGCGAGTGTGTTTTTTTCGCCTTCTAATCTGCGATAACCTCAGGGACGGAGATGATAGGGGAGCGTGGAAACATTTGCATCTGGGGGAAGATAAAAAGGGAGAGTAAAATTTAAGATGATACATTTCTGAGAACAAAAGGGAGACTCTTTCACAGTGAATCAAGCAATTCACAGCAGACAGCACATGTGCTTTAGGTACAAGGTCGTATTTTGCCTTTTATATTGAGCGCCTGCTGGTATGGTGACACATCACACATGGCTGGGCAACAGAATTCGCTTTCCAGGCAGGCATGGTAAGCCTTTTGGTACGCGGGGTTGGCTTCTTACGCCTTCATAACATGTGGGAATGTTTTCAAACTGCAGTGCCCTCCTTTCCCAGAGCAAGCAATGGGTTGGGTTTCACATTTAAAAGGAGAGGCTGCGGTTTTCGGGTGGATGTGCAGCACACACCTACCCCCAACCCCCCGCGTGGCTATTCTCTGGGATTATCCCTTCTCCCCTCCCCCCGCTGCGTGGCTATTCTCTGGGATGATCCCTTCACCCCTTCCCCCCGCCGCGTGGCTATTCTCTGGGATGATCCCTTTTAGCCAAGCGTAAACAGCCCAGCATGAACAGGGTCCTTTTACTGTTCTCTTACAAAAATTCCCCTATTTCAACCAGGTGACCATGAATGGTCACTCTGTTGAGGCTAACACAGAAAGATATAGACCGAATGTTGCTTGAATGCGACCAAAACCCAGGACCATTCGTTGCCATGCTTTGTGCTGCAGTGATTCCAGACTACTTGCTACTGGCTTGGCGTGGTAAAGTGTCCTACCGTGGAGGATGAAATAAGGCAGCCCTCCCCA